TATATATATATATATATATATATATATATATATATATATATAAACAAAGCTAACACTATATTTAAAACAATATTAAATAAGGTTTAGTTTCTTCTTCCATACTTCTCACTTGTGGAAATGGCTTGCTTCTTCTTACTTTCCTCTGAACTACGATCTTCAAGAAGTAAAATGCAACCTCAATCACAATCACCTGTCACCTCAAATCCTGTTCTTTGAGTGTACTCTCTCCTTAATAAGATCTTTTTCAGTTTCGTTCACTCTTTGTAACACTCTTTGCATCGGTGCTACTATGGTATGATATCTGCCGTTCATTTTCTACTTAAGTATAATACCTGTACATGTAGACTTCTACATTTATTGTTTTAACTCAAATTTATCCAAACTAAATACATATAGGCTCCAAAATCAAATATAGCAAAGGATGTATTCTGATTGGTTCGTAAATAATAATATCACGTTTCCGCCTATGTCCTCAGGGTTGACCTCGAGTTGACCTGCTCAAAATACAACACTCCAAAAAAAATGTAAACGTGTTCTGGAGCCTACCACGTGGCTGACATTACTTATAAATATTTAGCGATATCATCTCTCGATTTCTTTTTTCTGTTCTCACTTACAAGCAATGTAAGCTGTGTGGAGAATTTGCGCTATTTCCTTTGGGGAAAACGCCATCACACACACACACATTCGTACGAACATACACTCCTGATAACACAGTTTTGGATAGTTGCAGTTCGAGATAAGTAATGGAAAATCTTGAATGTATGCCTTAACACAACTACAGTCTATATTTGTTGATTTCATTATAACCACAAGGGCTGAAACTTTTAACGTAACTTTTTGAGTCACACACGTTTTTTTTCGCACTATTTTCAAACTGCTTAATTCCCTTACACGTAACTCACATCTTATTAAAATTCTCCAAACACATACACCTTTTAATACACTTCACAGTTTATCAACAAGAACATTTTCCTCACTCAAAATTCCAAGGACAAGTATATTTCAGCGTTTCAAACACAGCTGAATTACTGTTTTGAACGATTGTTGTTATGCATATATAAATCCCGTTTATTTCTGCAACTTCTTTTATTGAATGTGTTTCTTCTTGTTTCATATTTGGTGGAAATTTTCGTAATATAAATTAGTTAGGGAGGTCCGGTGACCCCTACTGACCTGTGACATATACATATTTGCTATTCATTTTCTACTGTGGCATAATATTTACCAACTGTTGGAAGTATGACATATGTTAGAGTTAGGGTTAGATGTTAAGGTTAGAGGTTAGAGGTTAGGGTTACGGTTAAAGGCAGTGTACAGTGAACTGGTTATGTATTGAAAATCATTAACAATTTTTGATACAAAAAATCATCAAAAAATGATTTTAATGTTTGTAAACTGATTTGATGGCATAAAGAAAAAACAGTAAACAGATCATCGTTGTTCCTGAGCATTTTCCAGCAATAATCGTCATCTACTTTAGGTCGCAAATGCCTTGGTAGATACATTATATTCAGCTTTAGATGTATTATGGCATTCCTTGTGTTGAAATGATAAAAAATAAGACAAAAAAAAAAAAAAAAAAAAAGAAAAGAAAAAAGGAACATTTTCCATTAGAGATAAGCTTAAACTCTGAAACAATTTCTGCCTGAATTTCTGGGATGAAGGCTTATTATTGACATTATTTACACTTGGATTAATATCTTCATCTCAGTTGTTGTTCTCACAAAGTTTCGACCGTTGAGCATTACGTCCTTCCCCGGGTACTTGTCGATCGTAGTAATCTTCAAGGAATTTCGAACTGAACCCTTTATTTAATCTACGAGGCTAGATTATACTCATTCCACAGTTCATGTCCAGGGATATGTCCCTCAAGTTTTTATTTAGCACGGCTAAAGTTATTGCTCTCTCTGTTTCCACTGTGTCTAAGTTTGCATAACTCGACACAGGGACTGGACTCGCAATTACTATATAACACTTTAATCTGCTAATATATTTTCCTGTAGGACAATCTTGAGTCTACTAATTGTAACCTTAAACCTACTCTACCTGGCATTGCTGGTGTTGATGCTTGTCACATTTGACTGCATTCACTGTAGGTCCTCTATTCTTACTGCTGCTGTTATTGAAGCCTTGTTGTCATTTCTTTTTCTTTGTTTATTAATGATTTATTTATTTCTGTGCAGGGTCAACTAAGGAAGTCCTGATAGCCTAGCATATGTGCAGATTCTTTCTGATGTATGGCTCACCAGTAATTTTACTTTGTTCCACGGGGTTTAGTGTCTATTTTTTTTTAAATCATTTAATTCCAAGAAAGGCAATAAAGCTACTAAGACACAAGGGGGCTACAGAGTGCAAGAGAATATAAAAATATTATTAAGGGGAGAGAAAAATACAAGAACATTAATTTAGAAGACAGACGATAAAAATTCACATTTTTAAATTTTTGAAGATCAAATTTGATTGGTAAGAAATCAGACGAGTGTTTCACAAGGGAGACGAGAGAAAAAACTGTTAGAAACTTCCGGTGGCATATAAACATTTCAACCGTAAAATGATGAGATCTTGCCGCCATTCTAGTATAGCGCGCTTAAATTTATAAAGTTAAGGTACCAAAGAGAAAAGCTTACCAGAACAATTACCATGATCATGTACACGCTTCCATCTATACATGATCGGTATATTTTGATTTGTAACAATAATTTTTTTTTCTTTGTTACTGATTACAATTTTTTGCGATTAATAATGATTTTTTCAGATACAATTCTTAGATCCATGGTAATTGTTCTGGTAAGCTTTCTTTTATTTCACTTGGAGCTTTATTGGGTGTGGATGTGAAACCATCTCCACTGGCTAAGATTTCAAATATGGTTTCATACTTTTTCTAATGCTATTAGTACGGAAGTGATTATAACGAACCTGAGCGGAATTTGAACTTGGTTTTCCGATACGTCATTCTGTGTCTTCATTACTTACATCAGTCGCACATCCACACCCAATAAAGCTCCAAGAGCCATTCAAAGTAGAGGGATATTAACTGAGGTTTTTGTAAGGGAAGGAGTAAGAAATACATAAAAGGATATGTAAGATAGATGACAGTTGAGCTTAGATTTGAAGGTGTTAAGATCGTTGTCATTGGGGAAGCATCCTCTTGGGAGTCTGTTCTATAATGTAGTATTTTGGGGCAAGGATGTGTCTGAAAAGAACTTCCTCCTTACTAATGTTATACGAAGGTGAAGATGAGCCGACGCTGTATTTGCGGTATGGAGGGCCTTAACTGTAAAGGTCTGAATTGGTCGATCTAAGAAATGTAGCGCGTCAGAACATTTGCCATTGAAATAGCAATTTATATTTTAATTTCGCGTGAGCGAGTTGTTTGTTTTTGATTTTATGAGTATAGTAGGGTCAGCTGGGCAGCATCTGTGAGAAAAAAAACATGATGACGCAATTCATTCGGTCAGAAATTTGGAAACGGCATGTTGTACTGCTTGGCATTTGCACCGAAAGCTCCAATACGAACGTCACAGTGTGTTTGGGTGTCAATCTGTGGATTCAGAAAGAACTGGGTGAATTTAATGCTGATTACGACGGTGTATAGAATGGTTACTAGCAATGGCAACATTATATCACCATTCATCTTCCCACAGGGCCTTAGACTCAACACGAAATTTTACTTGAGGAGGTAGTGCTATCCTGGGTCTAGAGGGTGACTGCTGGAAGAATCTATGTCTGGCAACGGGAGTCTGCACCATGCGACACAAGCAGGAGAACCCAATAATTGTTGGCAGCCAATTTCTGCGACCACATCACCTCTTACATCTGGCCACCTAACTCCACAGATTGCATCAACCTTGATTACTATGGGGCAAGGATTATGACAGTATTCACCAACTTAAACAAGGAGACCGTCCAAAAGAGTTGAAGGAGATTCCGAAGTCACCTGGAGACCGTGGTTGAAACGAATGACGATTTTATTGAATAAATTTACTGTTTACTATTTCAAGATATTTTTGCATCATTTTGGTAAACCTATCTCTTAAAATGAGATGTCAGTGTTATTTTCAGTTTCGCGTAATTTAGACGACAATTTATCCATCGCGCATACACACACACACACACTATATATATATATATATATATATATATATATATATATTACTGTAAAGAAATCGGAATATCTGTTTACTTATTCACCTTATTAGCTGTAATCACCTTATGGCTTGTAATGAACAAATCTTGCAGGTCATAAAATAATGTCCTTCCCAGGCGAGAAAACCATCTACCCAAATAGTTTTTGTTTACAACCGGTCATAGCCACTTTTGCACATCAGACGGAAATTCTTGCTTTTTGGGATTCATATACTGATTGCAAATTGAGAACAAAACAATGTAAATATTTGATACACTTCGAAGAAGCGTATGTTCTTTAACCATTCAGCAACGAACGATATAACGACAAGAAGGTTGGACCAACCTATTCTCTCCGGCAAATGTTTATCCCTTATTTCTATACAGTCATTAACAAAAGTTTAAGACGATATTGTAATTTTACTAAAATGTTAAAAGCTGCACGGTAACAATCTATTTTTTCAGAGGCTGACTATATTTAACTTACATGTCGATGTTCCCGATTCTTTTCAAGCGAAATAGTCCAGTGGTTAATATTTTGCATGACTTCCTCCTCCTTTGAATTCTGCTTGGATGTGGCGGGCCATGTTGTGAATAGTGAACCGTGTTTTCTTTTGCACAGGCTTAAATAATCCTCTTTCAATGCTCTGCCACTTTAACGTTGTTTTTCAGCCCCTTTGTCTTTGACTTTTTCTTATAAATATTCATTTGGATTCAGAGCTAGGCTGTTCCTCGACCAATCAAATTTTGTCACGTTGATCCTGCTCAAAACATTCAGAACGACCTTTGACCGATACAACCATGCATAAATATGAATGTGCATATGCAATGCCAGTTTCTTCTGAAGCAGATCTATATACACCCCTCGGCTTACGGACACATCATGTTGAAGTAACGGTTCTCGTACGATCACTGAAGTTAAGCAACGTCGAGTCTGGTCAATACTTAGATGGGTGACAGTTTCGAAATATCCGGTGCTGTAAGCTTGGAAGTATGGGTAGCGAAATGGATAACGGCTCGGAATTGTTAATTGAGAACCAAGTTCCAATTCCCGCTATATTCACTTACAAGCAAATACCATTAGGAAAGGTATGGACCAATATCTTTCCCCCAGCTATAGGTTAATTAGTGAGATTAGTATCACTAAGCCAGCATTTTTACAAGTGAAAAAATTCTGGCTTTAAATAACCTGTAACCGGTTGAAAAACCGTAGGAAACAAATCATTCAATCAAACCATTCATTGTTGATCTTGGAGACAAAAAGTTGATTTCACTTTTTCCAGATATGAATGTTGCGCCTCAAATCATCTGTCTTTGTGGGTGTTTCATAGACTGAATTGTATACTTTTCATCAATTCTCTTACCAGGGGGTCGTCTGATGTTTCTTTTATGCAGGGCAAACTATTGCAGAGTAGATTCATCTTATGACAAAATTTTTCCCCAGTCTTCTGCTCTCCGTGTAACTTGTTGCTTAGCAAATGCCAGAGAGTTAGATTACATAGCTGCAGTTAGGCGTCATTTACGAGAGGGTTTGAATAATTTCAGATCAAAAGCAAAACTCAGAAGCCATGAAACTGTCATAGAACTGACATTTGTTCCAGTTTGAAACAGAGCAGCGTGGATCTTCTGACAAGAATCTGTTGATTGCCGTTTAGCAATGCGCTTCATCAAACGGTCATCTCCCGAAATGATTTTCCTTGCACATCCACTTCTCACCTTGTCTCTAAATATCACATGAGATACTTGCCAGTGGCTGATGTTCGAATCCTGATTGTCATCGCAGGATTTTCTTATTGACACACTGAATTCTCTATAGCTCTTTGCTTTTTCTCGTTTTGTTAAATTGATAAAATATGTTATATATATGTGTTTATATAATTCAATTAAGTAATTTTTATACAATTTAATTAATATATCTGTTTTATAGATAAAATATTTAAAATATGCTAATTATATTTTAAGTATGTGCAAAAATTCCAAATTTTGAAAGCCACGAACAAAATAATCTGAAGAAAATCGAACTTGTTTGTATGTTTTTAATACAAAAAAAACGCATTTGAAACATTTCAATTAACATAGTATTTGTGTCTATCTCAATTTTAAAAAATAACGTTCACCAGTATAAGGCTTAAGAGCCACTTGATGTAGAGCATTTCTAAATGAACTTAAGAAGAAGAAATAGGAAGTGAAGTATATGGCAGATAGATATCGATTGACGCTATACGTGAAGAGGTGAACATTGTGATGTTCCGGGTAGCATCTATACCGCAGTCTGTTTCATGACGTAAAGTAAGGCCTATAAATAAAAGTCTCTAAGTATCCAAATTATGTACTTGGATATTTAAAAAAATAATTTCCAGTTTAACAGATCATATACAGGAGATTGTTCTTTTTGTGTTTATATGTTCCATACAAGACCATAGATCTCCGTCTGCTCTACTATTTAACTCATAGTTTGGGGGGATGAGAAGAGACGGTTTTCTTATGACAACAATGCGAAAATGAACGCAACAAACTTGACTGGAGTTTGAATTTAACCTGCCGGACCCAATTTCCATGCAAGTCATATTTACGTTATCCGCATAATGCATAGAAATATTTTCCAATGAATAAAAATATGTATTCAATTCACAAGTCGTCTTAATCGTAGCTATCAATTTCCGTGATCGAATGTCAAAACAGCTTTTCTTGAAAGCAGAAAAAAAAGAAGATTTTAAATGCAGTTAGCGATAAAATCTTTGGTTATCCAGGCAACATATAGTATGCATTGAATTTTTATAAGACTTTTAGCATGAGCTGTGATAAAAAGGGACTTCTCTTTCAAATGGAATCGGATCGTAAAGACGCTAGTCAGAGAACGCCATCAAATATTCGAAATTCACCTTTGAAAGACTGTATTTAATGAGCACATGTAGTTTACAAAATGAGCAGAAGAGAATTAATTTAAAAAACGAAACAGCTAAGTAGCTTTTTCTCAGTTCATTGTCATTTAAATAATTTAGTTGCACGTCAGTGGAAAACCTTTCTGTAATGAGGACCTTCTTATCGATTTAGCAATCAGTGACATGGTTTATTAAAACTCAGCACGAACAAGCTATTCAGTAAAAAGAAGTATGGCTTATTGTTGAGTATTGACTCAGTTTTTGAATTATTAGAAATAAGATTACATATTTTCATTTATTTATAATTAGTTACTAATATTAATATGACTATATACATCTGATTGCTATATAGAGAAACTATAATTTTTATACACTTATATACATAGAGCAGTATTTATGGTTTTCAGGTGGGCTTGGAATCCGTTCATTTCTTGAAACAAGGTGTAAAAATGCCAGAATTTCTTTCTTTATCTCCATATCTCGGTCTCTGACTAAGTTTTAATGAAAGTGACACATATTAGATAGATAAGCGTTGCTTATTTGTTATTTATCTTATCATTATGTCGGACTCCAATTCATATTTGATCTATAATTGATCGCAACTCATAAAAACACACACACACACACACACACATAGACGCACACACACACGCACACAAACAAACACATATATTAAGAAATATACATAATATCTTATATTAATTGCACAGCAATTTATTTTTATTTACATTTCAGATTGACCCAAAATATAAATAAAAAAAACATATTGCAAATAAATATAATAACTTGAAAATTGCTTCGGCAAGTTATGTATATTTCTTAATATATATATATATTAAATAGCTCTGCTACTTAACATTGAGCACTGTTTTTTCTTACACTATAGTGTATTTATATGTATTTGCATACTATCGTTAGCTCGTGTAGACTGAATTCGGTTATATACATGCATACATACACACATACATACATACATACATACACATACACACACACACACGCGCGCACACACACACACACATATATATATATATTATGATATGGATTAAGTCTGACAATTATTTAATATATTTTTAATATATTTTCTGTTTATACGGTATTTTAATAGATACAATTTATTTAAGTAAATGCTCTGTTTTTAAATAAACAATATACTTTTTAAACTATATCATGGAAAATAAGGAGATGAACATCAGCCGGCTATAATCAATCCAAAAACTGCAGGCTATGTTTGGAGGAACAAATAGCTCTAATTACCTTCCCAGACCAAAACAAACTACTAAATAAACGATCAGAAATCATCTCTAAATGCTACACGAAAACAAATTTTTACTACGTTACTTAAACATTTAAAACTGTAAAGAATAAATTAAAATAAACAAAATAAAAATAAATAAGTTGAAATAAGTAAAAAAGAATTAATCCAAATAAATAAAGTAAATAATAAAAAATTAACAAAATAAGCGTGAGAATAGACTACCCACAATGCAAACAGACTACCCACAATGCATGTCTCGTATATATAAACAGTTGAAAAACGCAACACATGTGGCCTGATGATTGCGTTTAACATGAAACATTATTTTGACTGTGAGTATTGATTCAATATTCATTATATATATATATATATATATATATATATATATATATATATATATATTGAATATATATATATATATATATATAGTTGAATATATATATATATATATATATATATATATATATATATATATATATATATATATATAGTTGAATAATATCAAGTTATGTATATCCAATTTTGTTACCTTTTGCAAATTTCCTAATAAGAACTGAGTTGTTTATTATAATCGGTAAATTCCTCCACCCCGAGTACTTTTGAATATTGCTGCATTAATTCCGGTGTTCCCACGTATAACTAAAATCCAATTACAAAAACATACACAAAACACAATGCTTGAAAAAAGTAACCGGCGGAATAAACTAAAAATCAACTTTGGTAAATTTAGGATTTTATAAAATAACTAATATGGGAATTTGATAAAGTTAATAAAAATTGGATAGACAGAACTTGTCAGTATTATTTAAATATACCTTTTATATATATATATATATATATATATATATATATATATATATATATATATATATAATAAGCCGTAGGCATATAATCCAAGTGAATCCTAATAATATAAAATATTAAAACTGATCCACAAAGAGAACTCAATATTATAACAGAGCATATATAAAATAGATAAATTACATAGAATAGAAATTCAAAATTATCCCATTTGAATAAATTCAATAATCAAAGTCTATTACTACATCAAAGGAATGAGTTTGATTTCAAATGTCGTCACCAAATTAGATTCAAACTAATCTAGAATATTATTGATCTTGCTTAATTTTATTACCTAACACATATATTGTTATTTCTACTCATTATTCTTATCAAATAACCTTCCTCGTACATAGATGTTTATTATCATTATTATAAATATTATTATTATGATTTATTTTTGTCCTCACTATATATTGTTTTATTTTACTTAATTATTTTTTATTTAATATTTTATTTAATTTATAATTTTATATACAATTTTATACGTAAAATTTATATTTAATAATTAAGTTAGACTTATTTTTAATATTTAATTTTATTTATATATATTTTTTATTAATTAATTTTTTATATTTAATGATTAATTTATATTTACATTTATTAAATGGTTTTATTTTTAATTTATATTTAATAACTAATATTTTACTTATATAATGTTTTAATTTTATTCATTTATTGGTTTATATTTATTACCTATTAATTTATATTTAATATATAATATTTTTATTAAATTTATTTAATAACTTGACTTTAATTATTTCGTCTCAATGTACACAAAGTGATGAGTCTTGGCTGGGGTTAGGATTACAGCTGGGGTAACTAAGAAACGTAGCTCGTCTTAACATTTTCTATAGAAATAGTGAGAGAATATCTTGAGGCTTTCGACTTTTTTTCTGTGGAAGAGCGTTTGGAAAATGGAAAACAATCACCGAGTAGGCTGCCTTTGGGCTCTATCAAGACTGGACAATATGCAACTATAGCCTAGATATTGTAGCATTACT